ATTCGTTTGGATGTTTTTCACCAGCCAACATTTGCGCTGTCTATGAATCTCGCTAAGGAAAGAGAAGGATCCGCAACAAAATTCCTTGCAGTACACTCTCCATACTATGCTCGTCAAATTGCCCACACATAGTTGCTCACACACAGTGAGATCTCATTTTTCAAAAACAAATCTTGAGCTGAGGAATGATGTAGTTAAAGTAAGGGAATGTTCGCAAACAATTCTATTTTGCGGGTAACAATCGCAACCAACTCGTAATGATTGAATCCACTGATACTGCAGGATGGTCTATCGAACGGGGCATAAACTTGTAAATAACATCTAATATTTGGTTGCTCATTGAGGCCAACCTAACTCGTCTGGTTGGAAAACATGAACATAAGGCGCCTAACGGATTTATTGCAGGAAATCAGGTGCAAATTGCGCATAAATTACAATGATCAAAGCGGGATACCTTCAAGATAGTGCAACGTTCTACAATAATGAGAAGAGTATTTAGAAGCATAATATGCACACCTTTTTACGCCAATTGAATTATGCTCTTATCATGCGGGGGTTTACAAAAAAAAGAGAAGCTGTAGAAAACGAGAAATGAAAATTTCGGGAAAGTTGGCATCCGCGACGGCACTATTCAAAATAACTGTCACAAGGAAGTAGTTAAAAAAGACATTAACAAACAAGAAACTGTCACCAAAACAAAAATAACGTAAAAATAAACCATTGTCCTCACGTAGCACAAAAGACAACGGGCGCACTGCATGACCTAATACAATTAACACAAAAAAGTGAAAAAAGTGAATGTGAAAAATGAGGGAACTGCGAAAAAACGAGCAAAGATAAAAATTTGCTCAAGGCGTCGAGGTTTAGGTTTGTTTGTGTGGATATGGTAGGTGAGCGGCTGGCTGTGTGGCGTATCTGCGGCGTAGAATGCGTAATGGCGGGGTGCGAAGGTGTCAGCTGCTGTCACTACGCTAACAGCCCATCCACATGCATTTATGGGCGAGGAAGACGGCACGCTGACAGCTGAGGACCTATCAACCTCTCACATGCCGAGGAGACATCTGAGGGCACATTGCCTTCAAGCGTTGCCAAGTTTTGTTTGTGCTCGCACTCCTTACTTTATTTGATCTTTCGTATCGCTGTTTTCTATACACATACACATACACACTTGCGGGAACCTCTCCATGCGCTGGATTCAGATTCCTAGACTTCGTCCTCTAACTATAAGAGAATTGTAGATCAAATAGGCCATTTGCAATGAGATATACATATACGTGCCCACTGCAATCCAGTAACAAATTTGGCTTCCGTATTTGCGAGCCGATTCTCTGAGCAAAGTTGCGCACGTTCTTTTCCTCGTCACTCTCTTATCATGCACGTGAAGAACGAGAAAGACCACAATCCACCCAAAATCTGGAGTTGAATATGAGCTGATGCAGAAAAGTAACTCTGCAGTCATTCCTCATGGAAGTAACGACTTGCATTACAACGTCATCTATGCGAGCAATTGTGGCGCTAAAGTATATGAGGGCTGCAAAAGCTCATAGTTCTCGAAGCAAGGGTTTTCGCGCAACGCGAGTGTCATATTCTTGCGGAAGAGCTCTATTAGTTGAAGGGGCAAGTTTTCAGCCAAGCTCGAGATTTCGACCCAACTTCGAAACAGAGAGGGCGGGGGGCTGGGCGGTAACAATGGGGAATACACTCCTTGAAGTCGCTATCACATCCCTGACTAGAATCTCAGTGAGTGAGTGCCATTTAATGCCATTTCGGCAAGACAACATGATGCAACAAGCAAAGCCGCAGGAGCCAGCTTCAGAAATGTCCTTCAGGAATCCTCCACGATGGCTACTTTTCTTAGAAGCATTCCGTGGTAAGATTAGGTTCTCTAACCGTGGAAAAGTGCTTTCTGGACGTACAGCGAACACTTCCGAAAAAGTGCATAACAATGATTCAGTCAAGGGTCCGAACTCATGAGCTCACAAGCATTAGGCCGTTTTCCCAACCATTAGGCTACAGAATCACACAGTGCTTCGCTCACTCGTCATTTACATGTTACATTTACATTTACCAGCATTGCCTCGGTATTCGTTTGTACTAATTCTCTCGAATTTTACTGGTCTACGCGGCGACGTAAGCGACCTTTCTCAGGGCGAATTTCTTCCATATTGTTTCCAACTCATTCGAATGGACACTCCAGTAGACGCGTCTTCCCTTCAGGGCCGCAGAGGGAAAAAACACAGGATCGATCTTTGAAGCCCAGAGATGGATTTCGATCGCGCGATCGACCTGATCATAAATGACGTTTCGCTACCACCTCATCTCAAAATCGCGATGGGCTTCCTTTTGAGCTGAAGGACTAGATTATAGGCTTCCTAGCGCGAAATAAGACGCTCCTTGAAGAAAAGGTCATGAGGCAGAAAAATATAGAGTTAGTAAATGAAGTAACTAGCATTAGGTCACAGATTGATGTAATCAAACAGTCGTTTCCCTCATGTGACACCTCTTCACAGCATAGTGTTTCCTCTAACTACTTCTTCATTTGATAGCTTTGAAGAGGTGGAACGTAAACTTTCGATTGTCTTGATTGGTGTTGATGAAGCAATGCTCGTGTTCCGTCAGATAGAGTATTATATGACTCATCGTGTGTTAGGCAATTATTGGACTATCTTTCAGTAGACTGTTGCCCTGTCGCAGTGTATAGAATGGGGCGCCTTGTCCCCAACAAAAATAGGATTCTGAAAATTGTCTTTCCTTCGTCTTATTTTGCCTCTTTAGTAGTAAAAAGAGCACCGCTTCTAAGGTATTTTCATGTGAAAAGAATTTATATTATACCTTCCTTGACTGGAAATCAGCGAGAACGTTTACGAGCTCAAAGGCTTGCGCGCCTCCATCCGCTGTCTCTCCTAGTAAGCTATGTGATCGTGTACAGGTTGAATTTCTTTCTGATGCTGAAAAAATTGTCGCTGCTCATCAAAGGTATGGCTCCTGCATCTTGTGCTTCCTCTTCATAACGGTCTCACGTCAGTATCAATTGCCAATCCTGATTCCTCTCATAGTATGCTTTCGTCGGGAACCTGTAAATGTTCCTCGATGTGCAGATGATGTCATACGAGGTTTTTCGAGTAACATACGTTCGTTGCAATGTAATGCTCGTTCTCTTGCTTACTCACTTGCCACCTTGACAGTGATGTTGTTGCCCTAACAGAAACTTGGTTAAAGTCTAAGAGTGTGAGAGAGAGTGAGAGTGAGGTGAGAGAGAAGCTGGAACTACTCAGGATATCTGCGGCTCATATGAAATATTTAGATGCGATAGACCTAGAATCAAGGGGGGGGGGTGGAATTGCACTTCTGGTCAAACCCCCTCTATTTCCAGTCCTCGTTTTTCAGGAGAGTATTCCGAAAGCATATGAAATCCTTGCGTGTGATCTTATCTTAGGGACGGGTGTTCATAGAATCATCGTAGTATATAGGACACCCAAATGCAATACGGAACTAAGTGAGCAACTCAACAAATGCATAAGTGACCTTTCCTCTAGTGACACAGTTTGTCTTTTGATGGATGATTTTAATTATCCAAACATCGAATGGAGCAGCAACGCTCGTCATAGCTCGTTTTTGTCCAAGGCTTTCGCTGATATGGTTAGCAGTCACAATTACAGACAACTACTTTAATCCGACACTAGAGGAGGGCACATCCTTGATCTTTTATTATGCAATACCTCTGATGTAATCGTAAAACCTCATGTTTCCGCGCCAGTAGGGACAAGCGATCACGCCTCAATCATTTCTGGTCCAGTCAGTAGACTAGAGCTTAACGAGTTTTCAGAGAAATATGATTATAGCAAAGCGAGCTATGCACTAAGTAAGGAGTACCTCAGTTCATTTGACTCGATTGGCTCTTTCCAAAGTTCTCAAGATGTGGAGACGATGTATGAGACATTTTTATTTATCTTGAAACACTGTATAGCCTTATTTGTCCCAATTTTAAAGGTTTTGCTTAGCCGTCCGAATTTGCCTACCTATCTCGCCCATTTTCATAATATGAAAATAAAAGCATATAAGAGAGCTATCTCCACCCAGCAAGAAGAAGACCGGGAACATTATAGATGGGCTGCTAAGAAGTTCGAAAAGAAACTCCTCAAGTATAACCTTTCCGTAGAAAAAAGTGATGGAATCGAACGACAGAGCATCTTTCTACAAATTCTTGAATTTTCGCATTAATCGTAAAGAGGGAGTCAGTGTACTGAAAAGGACAGGATGGCACATTGGTGGTACCAGACAATGATAAGGCGGAAATGCTAGCTAAGATTTTTCAAAAAGCTTATGCTAAGCAAAGCGTAAGCATCGATTCTCGACTAGTCCACGGTAACATTCCTCATATGGAGGACTTTGTTTGGTTTTCTCCATCTCTAAATGGCGTAGTTCTTCTTCCGCTACCCCAGATGGTATCCCATTCCTTTTCATAAAAAAGATGGCTGATGTCATTTCAGCACCGCTTGAAATCCTTTTCAATTTGTTGTTTTTTCAAGCTGTTTCTCCGCGTAGCCGGCGGCATGTTTATGTCCAATTAAAAAGAAACCGCCATACTGTGATCCTAATAACTACAGGCCTGTTAGTATCACATCAGTGTTTTGCAGACTTTTTGAAAAAATACTCAAGAAGGTCATTGTTCGTCACATAACATGTAACCAGGTTCTATCCGACCATCAACATGGGTTCAGAGCAAAAAAATCTACAGTAACGCTCATGTTGGAAGCAATTAACAATTGGACATCAGTACTGGATACAAAAAAGTGCAGACGTCAATTATTTTCATTTCCAAAAGGCCTTTGACAAAGTTTCCCATCCCATTTTATTACATAAACTTACGCGAGTCGGGGTTCATGGAAGGATAGTCAAGTGGATTGAAGAATTTCTCGCTGATCGCACCTTTCAAGTGTTGATTAATTGTCGTGCTTCGACGGTCCGACATAGCAGTGGGATTCCCCATGGAAGTGTCTTGTGTCCATTTTAATTAATATTTACACATCTGACTTCGATTCGACTTCAGCTTCGATTCAAAATCTTGGTAAGGATAAAAATGTTTGCGGATGACTTAAAGATCTATAGTATCGTGGGGGACTCCGCTGAATCTCAGCTCCAGAAAGCAATAGATGCTATCGTGGACTGGTCCAATACCAACAGGCTTCCTTTAGTGCTGGCAAAACTAAAGTCCTTCATTTGGGAGGATCCAATCCAGGCTCATCATATTACATCAATGAAGAGGCTCTTGAGGTAGTCGAAACTATAAGAGACTTAGGCTTTCTTGTGGATTCGAAACTGACTTTCGAAGAGCACCTGACGGACCTAGTGAATAAGGCAGAACAAAGGGTCTTTTGCTTTTCAAATCGCTCAAGTCCAGGAACCCTACGTTGCTCATTGAGGCTTATAAAATTTACGTCCGATCTATCCTAGAAGACGGTACATGTATCTATGAAAGGATTTATCGACAAATTGGAAAGGATACAGCATAACTTCACCAGGAAATTGTTTATTAGAGCCCTCGGTTTCACTTACAAAAGCATCCCTCGGGGCCTAGTAAGAAATAAAATGCTCAATTTGGATCCAATACATTTAAGATTTCGGCGAAATGACATACATATGGTCTACAATATTTTGAACGGACGTGTTGATATAGACCGCAGCTCCTTCTTCGAACTAGTATCATCTAGAACTAGGTGAGAACGGTTCAAGCTTTCTTTTCGTCAGCCTCGTTCTCTGGTGGGGCGTAAATTCTTTACGTTTCGTGCAGGCACGGAGTACTTGAGGATGAGCAAGCATATGCCCTTCCCGGTTTCTTTCTACAGATTTTAAAAGATGGTGGTTCATTATCTTCGCAGTGTTAAAGGCAGTTGGCACGATAAATCTAGCCAGACGGCTAGGACCAATACTCCAGACAGGATAGAATTCCGCGACCCTGGGCATAGCGGTTTCCCCGAGGAAGGTGCCCTTATAAGGGCCCTATCAAGCCACAACTTTACGTCCCAAACGCCCGCCACGCCCGCCCGCCCACAAATGGACGACCGTTCCTGACGCTCGTATTCATTCATTTGCTAAGCAAATTATGAAGCGAAGGGATTGGTATGAAGCGGCCGTGATGCTGCATGCATACATGGGTACACATATGCAGCCGTATCTTCGGTAGCGGTGATTGGTAAGATGCCTACGGGAAACTCGTCCGAAATCGAATCACTGAGAACGGAGGCTTTTTCTTCGCAGGATTTTGACCGTTTCACTCCGTTCTTTCGCCATTTCCCCACTATACAGCGCCCTACTAGCATTCTAGGCTAGGTAGGTAACCATCGAGCCATCAAATAGTGTTGTCATTTGTTTCAGTTGATGATTTTGTTGTGATCTTAGTTTTGAATTCACATGTCGTTGAGCATGTGATAAATTAAATTGAATTAATTAGATTTGCATGCTGTGCATTGAGCTGTTGGGCATGGGTCAGCCCAATTAACGTCTGCTGGTCGTTCTCAACCATCTGCTGGTCGTCCAGACGAATATTTCAGTGCATTTCACGTAGAACACCATGGCTTTCTTATGATTTTATGGAGATCATGACACTGTAGGAAGTTTTCACGAAATATCTGCAGCCCTGTATATAGTGCATGCTGCCATAATGTTCACCAGTAAATCTTATAGCAATTAATAATTTCAATTGTGTACGATTTTGCCTCAGTCGCAGAAATGAGCAATCCTATCGAACAACCGAAACAATAACGTTCCGGTGTAGAATGTCGTCTTTCATTGGACGATGCCAACATTCACTTCATGCATCGTTGTCCCCTTGATCGAGCTTTTGTTCGCAAAGGAACCCAGAACATAGGTTCATTCGGCAAACTTCTACATATTACACACTATAGGTCGTAGAACCGTTCACAGTAAACCTATGCCGTAAATAATGAGGTAGTAGACTATCGCATTTTGTCCTTCAAACTTCAAAAGGCTAGCGTTTCGCGCGAATCGTTCTTGAGTTATATGGAGGTGGTTTTCTTTTAATAGATCACGGAGGGTAAATTAAGGCTAAGCTATGGACCTGCTTGAAGTGAAAAATGGTTGGGTGACATTGGAACTTTTCTTATCTATCACCGTCTACTTGGGTTCTTAGTGGATGTACTCTGTTACCCTAGATAAAGAGTGGCAAACAATTGCATCCATAACCTCTTTCGTTTTTTGTTCTGAGAGCATGGCAGAACGATTACGAAGGCAATTACGTTTGATGTTTAAGGGATACCCCAAAGAACGCATTCCAAAAGCACTGACCTTTTGGGTCCTCCTTTTCGCGAAGAAGGTGCTGCAGATTGCTAAGTCGTGGGCTGTGGCTAGGTCAAGGATCCGTTCTCCCTCAGCGTTCTTTGTCCCTATTCCTTGACCTCCGTGCACCCTTTCTAGACCCCTTCTGTCCCTCCCAACATGGCCATTCAGATCCCCAGCTATGGTGAGGTAGTCCTCTTCCGGAACCGATCTTATGGCCTCGTCCAGGGTCAGGTAGAACTCATCCTTTTCCGCCTCGGAGCAACCGGATTGTGGTGCGTCAGTACTGTCCAGTACCCCTCCTTCGTGTCCATTCTCACTCCCATGATCCGGTCACTGATCCTGTTCACAGTGGAGACGCAGTCCTTGAGGGATTCTGCCACCGCTATGGCCACGCCATTCCGTTTGGTGTCTGCTCCGTTGCCGCTTTTACCCTCTCAGCTCAACGGCTTATGCCGGCCCTGGTGGCGTAACGGATAGCGCACTCGCCCGGAAAGCGTGAGGTGCGGGTTCGACTCCCGCCTGGGGCACGACTTTTGCCCACAACTCAGCATTCTTGTGATAGCTCTTACCTGTGTTTTCCTTCCCCTTCCGCAAGTGAACGAGAGCAGCCCGAGCACGTACACGGAAGCTCCGGAGCCCAACCACGCAGCCAGAAGCAGTATGCACTTAGCAAAGCACGAAGCTGATTTCTCAGTA